TGTCAAATACTTGAAGTATTAGATTCATTGTACATGCTCAAGTTGAGGATGTTAAGTACTTGAAGTATTAGATTCATTGTAAGCACTCAAGTTGAGGATGTCAAATACTTGAAGTATTAGATTCATTGTACGTGCTCAAGTTGAGGATGTCAAATACTTGAAGTATTAGATTCATTGTAAGCACTCAAGTTGAGGATGTCAAATACTTGAAGTATTAGATTCATTGTATGTGCTCAAGTTGAGGATGTTAAATACCTGAAGTATTAGATTCATTGTACGTGCTCAAGTTGAGGATGTCAAATACTTGAAGTATTAGATTCATTGTACGTGCTCAAGTTGAGGATGTCAAATACTTGAAGTATTAGATTCATTGTAAGCACTCAAGTTGAGGATGTTAACTACTTGAAGTATTAGATTCATTGTACGTGCTCAAGTTGAGGATGTTAAATACTTGAAGTATTAGATTCATTGTAAGCGTGCTCAAGTTGAGGATGTGAAATACTTGAAGTATTAGATTCATTGTACGTGCTCAAGTTGAGGATGTCAAATACTTGAAGTATTAGATTCATTGCACGCGTTGCTCAAGTTGAGGATGTTAACTACTTGAAGCATTAGATTCATTGTAAGTGCTCAAGTTGAGGATGTTAAATACTTGAAGCATTAGATTCATTGTAATGTGCTCAAGTTGAGGATGTTAAATACTTGAAGTATTAGATTCATTGTATGTGCTCAAGTTGAGGATGTTAAATACTTGAAGTATTAGATTCATTGATTCACTTGTAAGTGCTCAAGTTGAGGCTCATGTGTTAAATACTTGAAGTATTAGATTCATTGTAAGTGCTCAAGTTGAGGATGTTAAATACTTGAAGCATTAGATTCATTCATGCTCAAGTTGAGGATGTTAAATACTCAAGTATTAGTTCAGGTGCTCAAGTTGAAATACTCAAATACTTGAGTATTAGATTCATTGTAAGTGCTCAAGTTGAGGATGTCAAATACTTGAAGTATTAGATTCATTGTACATGCTCAAGTTGAGGATGTCAAATACTTGAAGTATTAGATTCATTGTAAGTGCTCAAGTTGAGGATGTTAAGTACTTGAAGTATTAGATTCATTGTACGTGCTCAAGTTGAGGATGTTAAATACTTGAAGTATTAGATTCATTGTACGTGCTCAAGTTGAGGATGTTAAATACTTGAAGTATTAGATTCATTGCACGTGGTCAAGTTGAGGATGTTAAATACTTGAAGTATTAGATTCATTGTACGTGCTCAAGTTGAGGATGTTAACTACTTGAAGCATTAGATTCATTGTAAGTGCTCAAGTTGAGGATGTTAAATACTTGAAGCATTAGATTCATTGTAAGTGCTCAAGTTGAGGATGTTAAATACTTGAAGTATTAGATTCATTGTATGTGCTCAAGTTGAGGATGTCAAATACTTGAAGTATTAGATTCATTGCATGCGTGCTCAAGTTGAGGATGTTAACTACTTGAAGTATTAGATTCATTGTAAGTGCTCAAGTTGAGGATGTTAAATACTTGAAGTATTAGATTCATTGTAACGCTCAAGTTGAGGATGTTAAATACTTGAAGTATTAGATTCATTGTAAGTGCTCAAGTTGAGGATGTGAAATACTTGAAGTATTAGATTCATTGTACGTGCTCAAGTTGAGGATGTTAAATACTTGAAGTATTAGATTCATTGTAAGTGCTCAAGTTGAGGATGTTAACTACTTGAAGCATTAGATTCATTGTAAGTGCTCAAGTTGAGGATGTTAAATACTTGAAGCATTAGATTCATTGTAAGTGCTCTCAAGTTGAGGATGTTAAATACTTGAAGTATTAGATTCATTGTACGTGCTCAAGTTGAGGATGTTAAATACTTGAAGTATTAGATTCATTGTACGTGCTCAAGTTGAGGATGTTAACTACTTGAAGTATTAGATTCATTGTACGTGCTCAAGTTGAGGATGTCAAATACTTGAAGTATTAGATTCATTGTACATGCTCAAGTTGAGGATGTTAAGTACTTGAAGTATTAGATTCATTGTAAGCACTCAAGCTGAGGATGTCAAATACTTGAAGTATTAGATTCATTGTACGTGCACAAGTTGAGGATGTCAAATACTTGAAGTATTAGATTCATTGTAAGCACTCAAGTTGAGGATGTCAAATACTTGAAGTATTAGATTCATTGTATGTGCTCAAGTTGAGGATGTTAAATACCTGAAGTATTAGATTCATTGTAAGTGCTCAAGTTGAGGATGTCAAATACTTGAAGTATTAGATTCATTGTACATGCTCAAGTTGAGGATGTCAAATACTTGAAGTATTAGATTCATTGTAAGCACTCAAGTTGAGGATGTCAAATACTTGAAGTATTAGATTCATTGTACGTGCTCAAGTTGAGGATGTTAAATACCTGAAGTATTAGATTCATTGTACGTGCTCAAGTTGAGGATGTCAAATACTTGAAGTATTAGATTCATTGTACATGCTCAAGTTGAGGATGTCAAATACTTGAAGTATTAGATTCATTGTAAGTGCTCAAGTTGAGGATGTTAAATACTTGAAGTATTAGATTCATTGTACGTGCTCAAGTTGAGGATGTTAAATACTTGAAGTATTAGATTCATTGTACGTGGTCAAGTTGAGGATGTTAAATACTTGAAGTATTAGATTCATTGTACGTGCTCAAGTTGAGGATGTTAACTACTTGAAGCATTAGATTCATTGTAAGTGCTCAAGTTGAGGATGTTAAATACTTGAAGCATTAGATTCATTGTAAGCGTTAGACTCAAGTTGAGGATGTTAAATACTTGAAGTATTAGATTCATTGTATGTGCTCAAGTTGAGGATGTCAAATACTTGAAGTATTAGATTCATTGTAATGTGCTCAAGTTGAGGATGTTAACTACTTGAAGTATTAGATTCATTGTAAGTGCTCAAGTTGAGGATGTTAAATACCTTGAAGTATTAGATTCATTGTACGTGTTCAAGTTGAGGATGTTAAATACTTGAAGTATTAGATTCATTGTATGTGCTCAAGTTGAGGATGTCAAATACTTGAAGTATTAGATTCATTGTACGTGCTCAAGTTGAGGATGTTAACTACTTGAAGTATTAGATTCATTGTAAGTGCTCAAGTTGAGGATGTTAAATACCTGAAGTATTAGATTCATTGTACGTGCTCAAGTTGAGGATGTTAAATACTTGAAGTATTAGATTCATTGTACGTGCTCAAGTTGAGGATGTGAAATACTTGAAGTATTAGATTCATTGTACGTGCTCAAGTTGAGGATGTGAAATACTTGAAGTATTAGATTCATTGTACGTGCTCAAGTTGAGGATGTTAACTACTTGAAGCATTAGATTCATTGTAAGTGCTCAAGTTGAGGATGTTAAATACTTGAAGCATTAGATTCATTGTACGTGCTCAAGTTGAGGATGTTAAATACTTGAAGTATTAGATTCATTGTACGTGCTCAAGTTGAGGATGTTAAATACTTGAAGTATTAGATTCATTGTACGTGCTCAAGTTGAGGATGTTAACTACTTGAAGTATTAGATTCATTGTAAAGTGCTCTTGAAGTTGAGGATGTTAAATACTTGAAGTATTAGATTCATTGTAACGCACTCAAGTTGAGGATGTTAAATACTTGAAGTATTAAATTCATTGTAAGTGCTCAAGTTGAGGATGTGAAATACTTGAAGTATTAGATTCATTGTAAGTGCTCAAGTTGAGGATGTCAAATACTTGAAGTATTAGATTCATTGTACGTGCTCAAGTTGAGGATGTTAAATGCTTGAAGTATTAGATTCATTGTACGTGCTCAAGTTGAGGATGTTAACTACTTGAAGTATTAGATTCATTGTAAGTGCTCAAGTTGAGGATGTTAAATGCTTGAAGTATTAGATTCATTGTACGTGCTCAAGTTGAGGATGTTAAATACTTGAAGTATTAGATTCATTGTAAGTGCTCAAGTTGAGGATGTCAAATACGTGAAGTATTAGATTCATTGTAAGTGCTCAAGTTGAGGATGTGAAATACTTGAAGTATTAGATTCATTGTACGTGCTCAAGTTGAGGATGTTAAATGCTTGAAGTATTAGATTCATTGTACGTGCTCAAGTTGAGGATGTTAACTACTTGAAGTATTAGATTCATTGTAAGTGCTCAAGTTGAGGATGTGAAATACTTGAAGTATTAGATTCATTGTACGTGCTCAAGTTGAGGATGTTAAATACTTGAAGTATTAGAATCATTGTAAGTGCTCAAGTTGAGGATGTTAAATACTTGAAGTATTAGATTCATTGTAAGTGCTCATATAGAAGTTGTCACATACTGAAAGTATTAAATTCGAGGTAAGTGCTCATGTTGCACTGTTGTTCAATACTGAAGGTATTAGATTCAAGAAAGGTGTTTATTTGCTGATGTTAAAACAGACAACAAAATACTTTGATATCCAAAAATTGGTTGTCCTTTGTGTTTGGTATCCACACATCTTCTTGTGATCTTCTATTGAGGAGAGGGGCGGTGGGGTAGCCTAATGGTTAAAGCGTTGGCTCGTCACGCCGAAGACCCCGGTTCGAATCCCCACATGGGCACAATGTGTGAAGCCCATTTCTGGTGTCCCCCACCGTGATGTTGCTGGAATATTGCTAAAAGCGGCGTAAAACCAAACTCAGTCAGTCAGTCTATTGAGGAGATGAAACCGCCTAGACAAATAAGATATTGGAGTAAATATGTTTACCAAATTGGCATCTCTTAGTTGAGCGACAATGTGTTCGATTTTGGTTGTGTTTCTATGTTGCAGTTCCCAGTTCTTCCACTGGAAGCGGGGCGGTAGGGTAGCCTAGTGGTTAAAGCATGGGCTCGTCACGCTGAAGACTCGGGTTCGAATACCCACATGGGTACAATGTGTGAAGCCCATTTCTGGTGTTCCGCGCCATGATATTGCTGGAATATTGCTAAAAGCAATTGTATTTCTATGTTGCAGTTCCCGTTTCTTCCACTGGAAGCTTGGCCTGTATGCCATACTGACAATGCTGATTGCTGTACTGCCCTTCTACATTGCATACTTCATCATCAGCAACATCCGCCTGGGTAAGACCAGCAACTGCTAAACTTTCACAGTTTTGTTGACAGCTGTATTTCTAACTACCTTTTCCCAGTCAGGATCCCTACAGAAGCCTATGCTGTACCCCGTCTGGGGGTGTCACGATACCTGCACCCCTCATAACAGGGTTGTTGTGATACCTGTACCCCTGCCAGGGGTGTTGTGATACCTGTACCCTGTCTGGGGGTGTTGTGATACCTGTACCCCTGCCAGGGGTGTTGTGATACCTGTACCCCTGGCAGGGGTGTTGTGATACCTGTACCCCTGGCAGGGGTGTTGTGATACCTGTACCCCTGGCAGGGTTGTTGTGATACCTGTACCCCTGGCAGGGTTGTTGTGATACCTGTACCCTGTCTGGGGGTGTTGTGATACCTGTACCCCTGCCAGGGGTGTTGTGATACCTGTACCCCTGGCAGGGGTGTTGTGATACCTGTACCCCTGGCAGGGTTGTTGTGATACCTGTACCCTGTCTGGGGGTGTTGTGATACCTGTACCCCTGTCTGGGGGTGTTGTGATACCTGTACCCCTGGCAGGGTTGTTGTGATACCTGTACCCCTGTCTGGGGGTGTTGTGATACCTGTACCCCTGGCAGGGGTGTTGTGATACCTGTACCCCTGGCAGGGTTGTTGTGATACCTGTACCCCTGGCAGGGGTGTTGTGATACCTGTACCCCTGTCTGGGGGTGTTGTGATACCTGTACCCCTGCCAGGGGTGTTGTGATACCTGTACCCCTGCCAGGAGTGTTGTGATACCTGTACCCCTGGCAGGGGTGTTGTGATACCTGTACCCCTGGCAGGGTTGTTGTGATACCTGTACCCTGTCTGGGGGTGTTGTGATACCTGTACCCCTGTCTGGGGGTGTTGTGATACCTGTACCCCTGGCAGGGTTGTTGTGATACCTGTACCCCTGGCAGGGGTGTTGTGATACCTGTACCCCTGGCAGGGTTGTTGTGATACCTGTACCCCTGGCAGGGGTGTTGTGATACCTGTACCCCTGTCTGGGGGTGTTGTGATACCTGTACCCCTGCCAGGGTTGTTGTGATACCTGTACCCCTGCCAGGGGTGTTGTGATACCTGTACCCCTGGCAGGGTTGTTGTGATTCCTGTACCCCTGTCTGGGGGTGTTGTGATACCTGTACCCCTACCAGGGTTGTTGTGATACCTGTACCCCTGCCAGGGTTGTTGTGATACCTGTACCCCTGCCAGGGGTGTTGTGATACCTGTACCCCTGGCAGGGTTGTTGTGATACCTGTACCCCTGTCTGGGGATGTTGTGATACCTGTACCCCTACCAGGGTTGTTGTGATACCTGTACCCCTGCCAGGGTTGTTGTGATACCTGTACCCCTGCCAGGGGTGTTGTGATACCTGTACCCCTGCCAGGGTTGTTGTGATACCTGTACCCCTGGCAGGGTTGTTGTGATACCTGTACCCCTGGCAGGGTTGTTGTGATACCTGTACCCCTGCCAGGGGTGTTGTGATACCTGTACCCTGTCTGGGGGTGTTGTGATACCTGTACCCCTACCAGGGTTGTTGTGATACCTGTACCCCTGCCAGGGTTGTTGGGATACCTGTACCCCTGCCAGGGTTGTTGTGATACCTGTACCCCTGACAGGGTTGTTGTGATACCTGTACCCTGTCTGGGGGTGTTGTGATACCTGTACCCCTACCAGGGTTGTTGTGATACCTGTACCCCTGACAGGGTTGTTGTGATACCTGTACCCTGTCTGGGGGTGTTGTGATACCTGTACCCCTACCAGGGTTGTTGTGATACCTGTACCCCTGCCAGGGTTGTTGGGATACCTGTACCCCTGCCAGGGTTGTTGTGATACCTGTACCCCGCAAGGGTGTGTTGTGATACCTGTACCCTGTCTGGGGTGTTGTGATACCTGTACCCCTGCCAGGGGTGTTGTGATACCTGTACCCCTGCCAGGGTTGTTGTGATACCTGTACCCCTGCCAGGGTTGTTGTGATACCTGTACCCCTGCCAGGGGTGTTGTGATACCTGTACCCCTGGCAGGGTTGTTGTGATACCTGTACCCTGTCTGGGGTGTTGTGATACCTGTACCCCTGCCAGGGTTGTTGTGATACCTGTACCCCTGCCAGGGGTGTTGTGATACCTGTACCCTGTCTGGGGGTGTTGTGATACCTGTACCCCTGGCAGGGTTGTTGTGATACCTGTACCCTGTCTGGGGGTGTTGTGATACCTGTACCCCTGGCAGGGTTGTTGTGATACCTGTACCCTGTCTGGGGGTGTTGTGATACCTGTACCCCTACCAGGGTTGTTGTGATACCTGTACCCCTGACAGGGTTGTTGTGATACCTGTACCCTGTCTGGGGGTGTTGTGATACCTGTACCCCTACCAGGGTTGTTGTGATACCTGTACCCCTGCCAGGGTTGTTGGGATACCTGTACCCCTGCCAGGGTTGTTGTGATACCTGTACCCCTGCAAGGGGTGTTGTGATACCTGTACCCTGTCTGGGGGTGTTGTGATACCTGTACCCCTGCCAGGGGTGTTGTGATACCTGTACCCCTGCCAGGGTTGTTGTGATACCTGTACCCCTGCCAGGGTTGTTGTGATACCTGTACCCCATGCCAGGGTGTTGTGATACCTGTACCCTGGCAGGGTTGTTGTGATACCTGTACCCCTCTGGGGTGTTGTGATACCTGTACCCCTGCCAGGGTGTTGTGATACCTGTACCCCTGCCAGGGTTGTTGTGATACCTGTACCCCGCCAGGGTTGTTGTGATACCTGTACCCCGCCAGGGTGTTGTGATACCTGTACCCTGTCTGGGGTGTTGTGATACCTGTACCCCCACCAGGGTTGTTGTGATACCTGTACCCCTGCCAGGGTTGTTGGGATACCTGTACCCCCTGCCAGGGTTGTTGTGATACCTGTACCCCTGACAGGGTTGTTGTGATACCTGTACCCTGTCTGGGGGTGTTGTGATACCTGTACCCCTACCAGGGTTGTTGTGATACCTGTACCCCTGACAGGGTTGTTGTGATACCTGTACCCTGTCTGGGGGTGTTGTGATACCTGTACCCCTACCAGGGTTGTTGTGATACCTGTACCCCTGCCAGGGTTGTTGGGATACCTGTACCCCTGCCAGGGTTGTTGTGATACCTGTACCCCTGCAAGGGGTGTTGTGATACCTGTACCCTGTCTGGGGGTGTTGTGATACCTGTACCCCTGCCAGGGGTGTTGTGATACCTGTACCCCTGCCAGGGTTGTTGTGATACCTGTACCCCTGCCAGGGTTGTTGTGATACCTGTACCCCTGCCAGGGGTGTTGTGATACCTGTACCCCTGGCAGGGTTGTTGTGATACCTGTACCCTGTCTGGGGGTGTTGTGATACCTGTACCCCTGCCAGGGTTGTTGTGATACCTGTACCCCTGCCAGGGTGTTGTGATACCTGTACCCTGTCTGGGGGTGTTGTGATACCTGTACCCCTGGCAGGGTTGTTGTGATACCTGTACCCTGTCTGGGGGTGTTGTGATACCTGTACCCCTGGCAGGGTTGTTGTGATACCTGTACCCTGTCTGGGGGTGTTGTGATACCTGTACCCCTGCCAGGGGTGTTGTGATACCTACACCCCTCATAACAGGGTTGTTGTAATACCTGTACCCCTGCCAGGGTTGTCATGATAGGTAAACACTAGAGCAGGGACGATACACTATGTCACGATACGATACGTATCGCAATATTTTACCTGTGATACGATACATATCACGATACATACACCTTGAAAGAATGACACAGTATTAAGATTTAAAATCTAAATTTATTTGAAGGTATTTGTGTATAACAATAACACTATTGTAAAAAAGGAACAAGCAACTCTATCCTAATTGCGTATTTTTTGCGTTCTCCACATAAGTACTTTAACATGTTTAAGATAATACTGTTTTTAAACAAAAGAGTTGTGTGTCGTTTTGTATCGATACACCAGTTGACGATGCGATAGCTGTATCAAACTAAAATGTATCATGATGTATCGGTGCATCGGTGAATTGTCCCTGCCCTAGTAAACACTCAACCAGGATATTTTGATTCACTGATGTATTAGGGCGGTGAGGTAGCCTAGTGGATAAAGCGTTCACTTGTCACGCTGAAGACCCGGGTTTGATTCCCCACATGGGTGCAATGTGTGAAGCCCATTTCTGGTGTCCCCCGCCGTGATATTGCTGGAATATTGCTAAAAGCGGCGTACAACTAAAGTCACACACTGATGTATTTGTGTACACTAATGGTACAACATCGCATATCCCTGCATCAATTCTGAAGTTTTAAATGATTGTACTGTTGACATTTTGCATGATCTTGGCCATTTATACAAGCATTTAGTAGCTACAACAGAAAAAGCACTAAACCTGATAGCATTGTGTAATTAGAATGTGTCTAAATTGAACACAAACTGGTGTCCCTTGCCATGTTATTGCTTCAATATTGCTAAAAGTGGCATAAAAGTATATTCACTCACAGACCATATATAAAAACACAAACAGGTTGAAAGCAATGGTTGTCATCCTTCAGCTGGAATATTGCTGACTGTAGCGTAAAGCAACAGACTAAACATAATGAATCATTTTATGATTTTATGACCTAGAACACCTCATATCAACCACTGGTTTACAAGCCAGTGTGAAAATGTGCTGACTGTAGCATAAAGCAACAAAAAAAAGTGATCAACCCAAAGATAAGAACGTCACATCATCGTTTGTTTACAGTACCGCAGAAGCGTCATATAAGGGTTCTGTTCACCGTTGGATCCTGGTGTGGGTTCTGTTATCTGTTTTGGAAGATTGGCGACCCCTTCCCCATACTCAGCCCGAAACATGGTAAGAATCTAACAAAGGTTTAAAATGTACAATCCTCCATAAAACAAAACTTGTAGTGAGTGTCTTCATAGATGATGTATGTCAAAACCAGTTGTCAGTAGTAACCAATGTTCAAGACTAGCCAATGATGTTTCTCCTTCCATTAAGTCCTAATATATCTAAGCTTTGAATATACATGGGTTAATTGACTGGGATAACCTATCATGACACAATGGTGTGACCTGTGTGATATATCAGAGAAAACCAGTTTTGTGAGGTCAATAACAGCCCTTATTCACAAGCACTTGGTAATAAAAGGGAAGATTGTTTCCACTCTATACGCAGGAAATAAAACTATACCTTGGTCGATGTTAGCATCGAAGGACAGAACTTGGAGGATGATTTGTGAAATGAAAGTGGGACTTGTATTTTAATGTTCTAGATCATGATGATGGTGATGATGATGATGATGATGATGGTGATAACTGTGGTTATGGTGGTGACTGGGATGATAATAAAGATGATGATACTTACCATGGCTGTTGATGTTGGTGCTACAGCTGCTATTCCCTGGCTTTTCCAGTTACAAACCCACTATGACTTTCATTCATGATGATATTGACACTCAGCTCATTTTTTTTACAGGTATATTTTCTATAGAGCAGTGCATTGGAAGAGTGGGAGTCATTGGTGTGACACTCATGGCGTTGCTTTCAGGGTTTGGTGCTGTAAACTACCCCTATACCTCCATGCACTACTTTGTCAGGTAAGCACATGTATAGATATAGCGCCCTGTACCTCCATGCACTACTTTGTCAGTTAAACATACGTATATATATAGCGCCATGGACTACTTTGTCAGGTAAACATACATATAGATATAGCGCCCTGTACCTCCATGCACTACTTTGTCAGGTAAGCACAGGTATAGATATAACACCCTGTACCTCCATGCACTACTTTGTCAGGTAGACTCACATAGATATAACACCCTGTACCTCCATGCACTACTTTGTCAGGTAGACACACATAGACATAACACCCTGTACCTCCATGCACTACTTTGTCAGGTAGACACACATAGACATAACACCCTGTACCTCCATGCACTACTTTGTCAGGTAAACATACATATAGATATAGCTCCCTGTACCTCCATGCACTACTTTGTCAGTTAAACATACGTATATATATAGCGCCATGGACTACTTTGTCAGGTAAACATACATATAGATATAGCGCCCTGTACCTCCATGCACTACTTTGTCAGGTAAGCACAGGTATAGATATAACACCCTGTACCTCCATGCACTACTTTGTCAGGTAGACACACATAGATATAACACCCTGTACCTCCATGCACTACTTTGTCAGGTAGACACACAGATAGATATAACCTCTGTACCTCCATGCACTACTTTGTCAGGTAGACACACATATAGACATAACACCCTGTACCTCCATGCACTACTTTGTCAGGTGGACACACATAGATATAACACCCTGTACCTCCATGCACTACTTTGTCAGGTAAACATACATATAGATATAACACCCTGTACCTCCATGCACTACTTTGTCAGGTAAACATACATATAGATATAGCGCCCTGTACCTCCATGCACTACTTTGTCAGGTAAGCACAGGTATAGATATAACACCCTGTACCTCCATGCACTACTTTGTCAGGTAGACACACATAGATATAACACCCTGTACCTCCATGCACTACTTTGTCAGGTAGACACACAGAGACATAACCTCTGTACCTCCATGCACTACTTTGTCAGGTAGACACACATAGACATAACACCCTGTACCTCCATGCACTACTTTGTCAGGTGGACACACATAGATATAACACCCTGTACCTCCATGCACTACTTTGTCAGGTAAACATACATATAGATATAACACCCTGTACCTCCATGCACTACTTTGTCAGGTAAACATACATATAGATATAACACCCTGTACCTCTATGCACTACTTTGTCAGGTAAACATACATATAGATATAACACTCTGTACCTCCTAGCACTACTTTGTCAGGTAAACATACATATAGATATAGCACCCTGTACCTCCATGCACTACTTTGTCAGGTAAACATACATATAGATATAGCGCCCTGTACCTCCATGCACTACTTTGTCAGGTAAACATACGTATATATATAGCGCCATGGACTACTTTGTCAGGTAAACATACATATAGATATAGCGCCCTGTACCTCCATGCACTACTTTGTCAGGTAAACACACATAGATATAACACCCTGTACCTCCATGCACTACTTTGTCAGGTAAACACACATATAGACATAACACCCTGTACCTCCATGCACTACTTTGTCAGGTAGACACACAAAGACATAACACCCTGTACCTCCATGCACTACTTTGTCAGGTAGACACACATAGATATAACACCCTGTACCTCCATGCACTACTTTGTCAGGTAGACACATATAGACATAACACCCTGTACCTCCATGCACTACTTTGTCAGGTGGACACACATAGATATAACACCCTGTACCTCCATGCACTACTTTGTCAGGTAAACATACATATAGATATAACACCCTGTACCTCCATGCACTACTTTGTCAGGTAAACATACATATAGATATAACACCCTGTACCTCTATGCACTACTTTGTCAGGTAAACATACATATAGATATAACACCCTGTACCTCCATGCACTACTTTGTCAGGTAGACACACATAGACATTACACCCTGTACCTCCATGCACTACTTTGTCAGGTAGACACACATAGACATTACACCCTGTACCTCCATGCACTACTTTGTCAGGTAGACACACATAGACATAACACCCTGTACCTCCATGCACTACTTTGTCAGGTAGACACACAAAGACATAACACCCTGTACCACCATGCACTACTTTGTCAGGTAGACACATATAGATATAACGCCCTGTACCTCCATGCACTACTTTGTCAGGTAAACATACGTATATATATAGCGCCCTGTACATCCATGCACTACTTTGTCAGGTAAACATACGTGTAGACTGGCATTCAGACCCGTAACAGACAACCCTGTATATTTGGAGACATGTTACAGAGTGGACAATGTTGCTGAGATTGACCTGTAACCGATTACCTTGTGTTCTGGCAGACACGTCACAGAGACGGACATCCAGAGTATTGAGAAGCGACTTCTGCAGACACTGGACATGATCATTATGAAGAAGAAGAGGTAAACCAAGATGTGTTCAACAGCAGACCTTGACACTGAGTACTGAGTGGAATGTATTGCATATGTAATGGAGATCTAGGGTGCCACAATCTGCTGGTACTGATGCCTGTGATTGATTCGGTCTCTTTAGGGTTGGCAACTTTACCTCATTGGTAGTCCATGATCAGTTGCATCCCTTTGGATAGTCAGGATCCTGTGACAGTGGGTTCTGACCGAACTCTGATCAGCTGCCTTCTTTACCTCCAATGGTTTTATGGTAGCAACTTTACCTCATTGGTAGTCCATGATCAGTTGCATCCCTTTGGATAGTCAGGATCCTGTGACAGTGGGTTCTGACCGAACTCTGATCAGCTGCCTTCCTTACCTCCAATGGTTTTATGGTAGCAACTTTACCTCTGGGTGTCTACCCACATGATACAATATGCAAAACTCATTTCTGGTGTCCCCTGATATTGCTGGAAGTTGCTAAATTCAGCAATAAACATTCTGTCATTTTGTAGGATTGCCCTGGCAGAGCGAGAGAATCTACGTCAGGCCAGCATATCGAAGAGTTCAGGAGGACTATGGGGGATGTTGAAGAATGTCACGTCAGGCAGTTCAAATGAGAGTATCCTGTGTTGAATAGTGTACTGGAAAGGGGAGGCAACCCCGTTAATTACCTTTGGTCCTTTGACATAGTTATCTTTATGGAAAAGTGGTCGTAACACCCTCAAGGTGACACTGACTTACATCCGCTATTGTGACTGGGTGTGCAAGCGTGTGTGTGTGCATGTGAGAGGGAAAGATCTAGGTTAGAACTGATCTTCAGCAACCTGTACTCATGAAGATCTATATTAGAATGGATCTTCAGTAACGTATGCTTGACTCTCCTCATGAAGGTCTCGGTTAGAATTGCTCTTTGGCAACTCGTGAGTGTCTCTCCCCACAAAGATGTAGGTTAGAACTGATCTTCAGCAACCTGTACTCATGAAGATGTAGGTTAGAACTGATCTTCAGCAACCTGTACTCATGAAGATCTATATTAGAATGGATCTTCAGTAACGTATGCTTGACTCTCCTCATGAAGGTCTCGGTTAGAATTGCTCTTTGGCAACTCGTGAGTGTCTCTCCCCACAAAGATGTAGGTTAGAATTGATCTTCAGCAACCCATGCATGTCTTGTTCCACGAATATCTAGTTTAGAACTGGTCTTGAAATCCTGTGCGTGTCTCTCCCCACGAAGTTCTAGGTTAGAACTGATCTTCAGCAACCCATGGTTGTCGCTCCCTAAAAAGATGCAGTAATACAGGCTTGTCTGGCTACATGAAGATCTACGTTAGAGTTGATCTTCAGGAGCCCATGTCTCCCCATGAAGATTGGGTCTAGAATCAGTCTTCAAATCACAAGTATCAGGCGATTAATGGGATGAGGTGGTTGGTCTCTCTGACATGGTTGATGCATATCATCATTTCCCTATTGCATGTTCATGTTGTCAGTCACAGGAGGAGTAGTGGGGTAGCCTAGTGGTTAAAGCATTCGCTTGTCACACAGACAACCCGGGTTTGATTCCCCACATGGGTACAATGTGTGCAGTCCATTTCTGGTGTCCCCTGCTGTGATATTGCTGGAATATTGCTAAAAGCTGCATAAGACCCAACTCACTCACTCACTCACTCACTCACTCACTCACTCACTCACTCACTCACTCACTCACTCACTCACTCACTCACTCACTCACTCACTCCTCCAGGCCACCATCATATAGCTGAAATATTGCGGTGTGGTGCTAAACAAGCACATAAATCAAAGGTAGCGCAAGATGTAATTGTGAATACTTTCATCTACGCACTTAACTTGTGAGATGTGAACCTACTGAAGCAGGAGACCAGCGCTATGGAGGAGCTGAGTCGGCAGCTGTTCCTGGAGACCTGTGACCTCAACGATGCCGTGGTGGGTACAGGTATTCTACAAGGGACTTGTAGTTAGATTTCCTTCCAAGCAGGTGCCATGTTCGTTGTGCATGTGACTTCCAAGTGTATTCTGAACACAGCCACAGCCAGAGCCATTATATGTATATACAGTTGTAAACACAATTACAGTGATCTCTCGCACTTTGCAATAATGCGGCCTCAGTTAAACCTCAGGATAATCAGTGGCTCATAAGTTCCCCAGCAATCTCACATCTTCACATGATTGGGAATAGCAACTTTTCTGCTGTTTTGCTGAAGTTAATATTGCTGTAAGGATGAACTTGTGAAGTGTAGATTGTAATACTTATGTCCTTGTATTCAGGGTTTGCAGATAGTAAAGAAACGTTTGGTGTTCTTTTTATTAATATAGAAGTCAAGTGTTATAAGGAAACATCAACCTCAATGACTTCACAGACTTCTTGGGGCGGTGGGGTAACCTAGTGGTTAAAGCGTTCTCTCGTCACGCCGAAGACCCGGGTTCGAATCCCCACATGGGTACAATGTGTGAAGCCCATTTCTGGTGTCCCCAGCCGTGATGTTAATGATGGAATATTGCTAAAAGCGGCATAAAACCAAACTCAGTCAGTCAGTCACAGACTTCTTGTTTGATTTAACACATAAACTAACTAGGTAACAGTACATATTCGGTGATTCCATTTCGCTAAAATACACCCTGTTGTCATCCATTCAGGGAACAGTAATCTGCGGGTGTTGCCTGTGTGTATGTTTGAGGCAATGAAACAAGTAAATTTGCTTGATTAGCCGTGGAAATGCCAGGGAATCACTTGCAAGTTATTTATAGGTGTTTAACAGTTTTGATATGTGTTTGCTGTCATAGTATAATGAATTGATTTTCATTTCAGCAACGTCGAGAGTACTCCAAAACCTTTAAGGGGAAGTATTTCAACGTGCTTGGCTATGTGTTTACAGTGTACTGTGTGTGGAAAATATTCATGGTAGGTGCCAGTGGAACTTGGTAAATACTGTGGTAAAATGTACAATATTCTTCACTTCACTGGGATATGAGGGACTCAAGCACCACAGTTTGCATAAAATTTCTTCTTTCATTACAAACAGACCCTTACCACAATCCAATAGAATTTCAACTGAAGTGATATTTGTGTATAAGTGTATTTTAAACATATGTTACAATTAGGATTCCACTATCTTAGTAAGGTAAAGATTCTAGTAATTTTGTTGGGTTAGTTGCATTCCTTGATTGGAACCCACACTCTCAGAGTCTGGCACCTAACTGCCAGCATACAAAGTCAGCCGTCTAACCCACTCAGGCACCGCACCTGGTAGTTTACACCACGGACAGGCGACCTCTTGAATCATAAGGTTACCCCACTGCTTCCTATGTTGGGGTAATAATGTCATCTTTCTGTGACCACCTGTGGGTTTGTGTGGTAACTCAACATGTGCTCAGGGTCAGGTGTTGACAAGCAGATGACATGTGCTATTAGGTGACCAAAGAATGGTAATGTTTCTTATATTTGTTTCAGGCAACGATAAACATTATCTTTGATCGTGTGGGCAAGGTTGATCCGATCACTAAAGGCTTTGATATTGCTGTCAACTATTTTGGTATCAATGTGGATGTAAGTACTGCTGTTGCACAAAAATAACAGGGGAGACCACTCAGTGCAGAGTGCTGTCCCTTTGCTGCTAAGGCTAGGGAATAATGGACATGGACAAATGCCGATATGTGGCCCCATGTCTGCAAGAAATGTCAGTAGAAAATTCCCCAAATAAAAGAAACATTTTCCTATTCCTGTTAATGCAGATATAACTAAAGCATAATTAAACAATTCAAGTAGGTTCATTGTAATCTGAACGAAGAATATGGCAGAGAAGCTATTGTATAAATACAATCTTTTATACCTCTGAAATGGAATAAAACATGTGCTTAAATCAAGAAAATGATGTGTTATCATGTTATCAATGATTACAATGTGGATTTTGATTAAAAGCTGGTCAAAATCTTTCTCAATATTATACAATGATGGCTGCTGGCTATAAGAAATTGGTCACATAGCTGATTCTGATTATATGTATCAGAACCCAAACCTTCTTTCACCACAAGTCGAAGGACACTCAAAACACTGTCCAGAGTTATGTCCCCTTGATTTGGTTCTTACCATCAATTCACCGTTGGACCCTTGGATTATTTGCCCTATTGAGTGTTCACTGTAACTGACGGGATGGTGGGGTAGCCTAGTGGTTAAAGCGTTGGCTCGTCACGCCGAAGACCTGGGTTCGAATCCTCACATTGGTACAATGTGTGAAGCCCATTTCTGGTGTCCCCTGCTGTGATGTTGCTGCAATATTGCTAAAAGTGGCGTAAAACCAAACTCAGTCAGTCAGTCAGTGTAACTGATAGTCATACAACCAACAAATACGGGTCTGTTGAATGACATTTGTTGGTTTCAGGTGAAATTCTGGTCTCAGCAAATCTCATTCTTTCTCGTGGGCATCATCATCGTGACATCTATACGAGGACTTCTCATCACACTGACCAAGGTGAGGATTTGTAGTTTGCTGTTTGTAGAACCGGAGTAGTTTTCAATATGAAGAGGATGCTCCCATCATGTCTGCCATGCGATTGTTCTTGGACACAGCTTCTATAGATTTGACCAAATGGCAAAAATAATCAAGTGAGTTGGGAGTTATATGAAACAGAAATGTGAGCCCAGTATGTACAGATGTGTAAAATCGAAATATATGGCATCATGCGAAAACTCAGTGTAGAACCCGTCTTCAGCAGCCCTTGATCACCCTAGGAGACAATTTACAGGATCTAGCAACAGGAGAGACAAGGCTGGCTGATTCATGTTATTGTATCTTAACTACATAGATTCCTGATTCATCTCGTCATCCTATCCCAGGGATTTACAGGACGCGAATTCCTGCGTCCTATACGCATAAAAATTGACAATGGACGCAACAAAATTTATTAGCACGTCCACAGGGACTCAGAAAAAGTCCAAATACTTTTTGTCAAAATTCCAATCAAGTGACAATAGGTTATCACTGAGTTTGCTACTAGCTGGGTTATGGTATCCTTTACAATTTAATTACTGTAACAATGTGAATATCATGATACACAATACAATAACAGTATTAATAATAATATTTAAGTGTCTGCGACCACCATTTTGTTGTCCAGCACCCCTGAAAATTAAGAGATGAGTCCCAGGGACCCTCAAATACAGGACTCCAGGTAAATCCCTCCTATCCTTTCTGCCCCTGGCTACTGTCTTTGTGTCCTGATTGTTTTGTGCTTATGCTATCGACCACTGGTTTCCTAAACCAGGGAAACTATGGAAACAGGTTAATTGGCTCCAACACTTTGATAATATAAACCTTTTGTAACCTTGTTTTCAGTTCTTCTATGCTATAGCAAGCAGCAAGTCCTCCAATGTCATCGTGTTATGTCTGGCTCAGATTATGGTAAGAAACCTCTTAAGTAAACATACTTTAGATTCATATGCTATATTGTAGCCCAGAATTGCAAACATTTTCTGCTAATGTACGATGTGTTTATCATTTAGTACAATATTCATGTATTTTATATTGTTTGTAATACTCTGTGTAGTGCATTATTCTATGGTTTTAACATTATGTGCATTTGACATGTATTCAACTTTCAGAGCGTTTTTGTGTATTTGGTCTTCAGGCCTTACTATCAGTCGCATGTGCATTTCACGTTCCAAATTGCCGGTGTTGTTTGTAAGAGCCATCGGTTTACATTTGTACTAAAGTGATCTTAGCTCATGCCTATACGTAGATTTAAGATAGTCTTAGCGCTAAGGTTGTTTTGGTGGTAGAGTCTGGTGACATGGATGCCGTCGTATGTCGACAATGTTGACGGCTGAATGTAATGTCAATCAGTGGATTATTTGGTCTAAAATGCAGGAATAGCTAATGGTTGTCAACGAAAGGGGAAAAAAGCAACAGTCTCATGAAACTCAGATCTTAGTTGATGCTAAACATAGATTTGAGGACTTGCTATTGCATATCATAATGACTTTTTGCAAACTTTATAACCCATGCTTGTCATAAGAGTCGACTAACGGCATTGGGTGGTCAGGCTCACTGACTAGGTTGACACATATCATCGTATCCCAATTGTGTAGATCGCTGCATTGATATGTTAATCAATGGATTGTCTGGTCCAGACTCGAATATTTACAGGCTGCCGCCATATAGCTGGAATACTGCTGAATGCAGTTATACAGCAAGCCAACCAACCAACCAACCAACCAACCACATTTTGCAAACTTTGACCGAACCGATTCTACCTACCGACCAAATCTCACGCCAAATTTGCTTCATATGTAAAATAGGAATAAAAATCTGTTGAAATTTTCACAAATAGGGCTAAATACATAATTTTCAGTGAGGTTCCTGAGAATGGAATTCGTAATTATGTGTTATCTTCAGGGAGCGTCAGAACCCAGCCAGGCAGAGCGGCCTTTGGAATCTGGCATCTCAAGTTATTTTCTCTCTTGAGGGTTTGAATCTCTCTTAATGAGATGTTCTAAGATCATTATTTAGTAATAGCAAGGACTAAGGTCTGGTTTTTAAAGAGACTGAAAAACCAATGTTGGCACTATTTTCATCTTTTCAAAAAGGGACAATTTGAAAGTGGAAGAAACTGTATCAATATCTTAATTTTAATTTCTTGAAATATAGTATATGTCACAATATAGGTCTAAGTATCCAGATGACTGCAGTACAGAATTCCAGGCGATACTCGGCTCTGAGCTGAGACACATTTGTTTCTTGTCTAATGCTATGCTCAGCAATATATACTGTATGACCATGGTCTGAAATCAAACCAATCTGGACCAGACAATCTAGTGTTTGATCAACCATTGACGTTGTTGGGATGTGATGACACTCAACCAGCCATGTCTCCTGGTCAGACCACCTGCCATTAAGTTACGTTGTACAGCCAGCATCGGTACCCTCTCCATCAGCAGCCCTGAAAGCCATTACCCCTGTGACCCCACTGCCAACTTACCAACAAATATTCATTTTTCAGGGCATGTATTTTGTGTCCTCTGTTCTGCTTATGAGAATGAATATGCCTCTGGAATATAGGTGAGTTTCACAGAAAAGAATTGTTTTTTGCCTACTCACTAACCAGATAAGCATATTTTTTCTTATCTATTTAAATGATAATTTAAGTATCAGGTTTTGTAGTATTTTCTTTTTTCTTTCACCAGACTGCTTTCAACCAGAAATTGTCACCAATTGAAAAACAACATTTTCAGTTTTTGTACATAAATAAATGAAAGTATCAATAGTTGGAGAATGGTTTCATGTACACAGGTTGTGATCCCTGCCCGACAAAGCAACCGTAGCACTCTCATTAAGTTCTAGTCTTTCAGCTAAATGAATCCCAGCACTACTATTCTACATTGTTTGAGTTACAATCATTATGGCACATGTTGTCATTCAAGAGAGGTAACTGACCATACAAATCCAGCTTCCAGTTGCCAGATTTGACTCGCCACCAGTGACTATTGTCAGTAATATCCCGTCTGTGTCTCTCCAGCCTCACATAAAATAACAACACCCAGACACTCTGATCCTTGGATAATCCAGATCTTTAATATAAAGAAACTGGCCTTTCTTCTTGAAGTGCTTCTGATCATTTTAGCACCTTGATTAAATACAGTAAAAGATTTGGAAAATACCTGTTGACACCCATGCCTTGTGAGTCCTGAAGTTGGGAGAAGTCTAATTGGCAGCCACCATGTTGTTCATGATTTCATTCGGCCATTTGTTCAGGCTATGCATACAGTCCAGCCAAACGATAACTGCTTTATTTTGGGTCACCAGCCTGATCATTGTAAATTGTGCTATGTGTCAAACAAAGTGAGCTGCATGTGTCCTTTCATTGTGCCCTGTGTTTTCAGATCTATAATCACAGAGGTCCTAGGAGAATTACAGTTCAGTTTCTACCACCGCTGGTTTGATGTCATATTCCTGGTCAGTGCTCTGTCCAGCATTGGCTTCTTGTACATAGCACACAAGCAGGCCCCGGAGAAACACATGTACTAGACACAGATTCCTGGTCACTGCTCTGTCCGGAGAACACATATGCTAGACACAGATTCTTGGTCAGTGCTCTGTCCAGCACTGGCTTCTTGTACATAGCACACAAGCAGGCCCCGGAGAAACACATGTAGTAGACACAGATTCCTGGTCAGTGCTCTGTCCAGCATTGGCTTAATGTACATAGCACACAAGCAGGCCCCGGAGAAACACATGTACTAGACACAGATTCCTGGTCACTGCTCTGTCCAGCATTGGCTTAATGTACATAGCAGACAAGCAGGCCCCGGAGAAACACATGTACTAGACACAGATTCCTGGTCACTGCTCTGTCCAGAGAAACACATATACTAGACACAGATTCCTGGTCAGTGCCCTGTCCAAAGAAACACATGTACTAGACACAATACCTGGTCAGTGCCCTGTCCAGAGAAACACATGTACTAGACACAATTCCTGGTCAGTGCCCTGTCCAGAGAAACACATGTACTAGACACAATTCCTGGTCAGTGCCCTGTCCAGAGAAACACATGTACTAGACACAATTCCTGGTCAGTGCCCTGTCCAGAGAAACACATGTACTAGACACAATTCCTGGTCAGTGCTCTGTCCTAGAACATAATTTTCTAAACACAGACTTTACTGGACCAAGAGTAATTATTAAGAAAGATGTTGAGTGTTCAAATCTGTAACAGTGTGCTCTCTACACACACAAATGTTAATAGTATCACTGAACCAGTAGGAATGATGGTTTATGTATTTGTTATGATCTAATTCATCAAGTTATTTCGTCAAAGAATTCAAAATAAATGCCTACAATAGTCTATTGCACAACTGACAATGAAGTGGAGTGCTGTGTGTTGTAAAGGTGAAGGCTGAAGGACATTAACAGTTAAAGATGCCTCTCCGTGGTTCTCATGCAAACAAAGATGTGAAATGTGTATGTATATACAGTGGAAACCGCATAAGTAAAGACCGCTTAACTAAACAGACCTGATAAGTAAACACTTTTCTTTGGTCCCGGCAACTTTCTTCATTAATTATCACTATTAGAGTCCGGTTAACTAAACTCGGATAAGTAAACAATACCACTTAACCAAACGTCTTCTCACGGTCCCTGGAAGTAAATTACTTAACAAAAGAGACTGGATAACTAAATTAGTGATCACCACATAATCCGACATGAGGGGCAGTCGTGTCAGTCTCCAGTCAAACAATCATCCTACTTACAGCTCGCTGGCGTCAAGCAGTTGACAATACACTGACAACTGGAGGCCAGCCCTGATAAGTTGTTCATTGTTACATATGCATACATATACATGCATATGGTTGTCATTTGCAGGTTTTTTATAAGTTTGGATAAGTAAAATACCTGTTAAGTAAACAATTTTGGCGAGTCCCCTGAAATTTCACTGATCAGGTTTCCTCTGTACATGTATTTATTTATGTGTATATATTCATCTGACACGTGTAAATATGGAGGATATCATTAAATCGTTTTCATTCATGATTTTTTCCTTCTGAATCTTTCAGGTGAGTGGAGATTTTACCCCATAGACTGACTGACTGACTGAGTTTGGTTTTATGCCGATGTTTAGCAATATTCCAGCAATATCACAGCGGGGGACACCAGAAATGGGCTTCACTCATTGTACCCATGTGGGGATTCGAACCCGGGTCTCGGCGTGACGAGCCAACACTTTAACCACTAGACTACCCCACCGCCCCTACCCCATAGATATAACATGTACCCTGTGTGAGGTGAAGCAGAGTGAGACGTGCGACCTTGCACTGCTATAGCAACGTGAATGCACTTGTTTGTGCATGTGCGTGTGTGTATGAGTGAGGTCGCTGGTACTGGTTAGTTAGTATGCTTGTTTTATGGAGCTCGTCCACTGAAATATATTTCTGCAGACATATTACCTCACTCACACATATGCTAACGCTAATCTTTGTTTATAAACTGAACACAAAACGCCAACAGGTTAACAACAGATAACTTCTATCAAGGTGTAGAATATCACGCAGCCAGTGATCCAACCACCATCTTTCCACTCACCAGGCGGAGCTGTGTTACACCATAGCGTTAGACTGGTGGGAAAGGCTGATGGTCATTTCAGTCGGTCAGACTGAAAGATTTTAGTCCAGTTACTTACACAGGGTCAATTTAGTTTTAGTTACGATTTTCTAATTTCTCCTTGAAACCTAAAACCAAATTTTCACACAGACAAACCCACGCTATTAAACGTTGAAGTCCAGGTCATATTGCCAAGTGCCTCATTAGCAACACACAATCACGAGACCTTCAAGAATGTTTAAGCAATTTGTTATCTACTGTAGAGAGATGAAGAAATCACAAGAGCACACCAAACGATGTTTAGGGAATGAACGTTTCTGGCTAACAAAAATAGATTCTGCTTAACGTGAGATAAGATGGGAACACCAATGTCCTATAACCACTGGTTTTCTCCTTGAAAATAACCTGAAGTGAAGACTTACTGCTTCCTGCCGAGGACCAGTACCTCTTGATGGTAATTAGCAAGATTCAGGGAAATTCATGCCAAATTAACGGACCTCCCCTAAGAAATGTCTGTCAAGTACACTGTCGTCAGACCCTCCATCGTTCACGGTGCCCTTGGTTTGGTACCTCCTGAACTTAATGCGCAGATCTAGAGTGTCAGGGTTCTCCACCGGCAGCTCCGCGATTCGGACACTCTGGGTAATGTAGAAGGCTGCAGTGTCTGGGAGTCTTCATATTCTCCAGAAAGTTCTTGGTGGGTTCGACTAAGCAGGGAAAAGTCCCATTTGCTGTCTGGACTGCGTGTAAGAGACCTGGACACAAGGCCCCGGAACTGATGATGAGCCTTACCAACCTGACTGTGCCAGGACTTGCCAACCTCTCTCTGTGTGATTTTTATCTTAATCTGTAAAAATAATGACAATAGGAAGAAGAAGAGGAAGAAAATTAGTAATTATAATGGTGTCACACATTGTTGATACAACCCTATTTACTGAAAGTACATATTTTTAACAATGTCCGGCCGTATGGCCTACGAGACTCCAACGATACCGTACTGTACATAATTATATAATATTTGGCAATAAAAACATACACATATACACACATACATATATCACAGATGAATTTATCTGGCTTATCTCACTGAAGACCAATTCTAACCCGGATGTTCCCGGGCTATGAAGGAAATACAAACCACTAGCCAACAGCAGGTACCTTGTCTGTATGTCATATGGCGTGATACAGATAGGGGTGGAATCACTCACCCCGGGTAGGCGCTGTATCCACTACTTCAAGAAGCCCTCATTCAAAAGCAGTCGCCGCCATACGACTGCCGTAACTCGACGTAAATATGACATGTCTGACTGACTGAGTTTTGGCTTTACGCCGCTTTTAGCAATATTCCAGCAGCATCACGGCGGGGGACACCAGAAATATGGGCTTCACACGTTGTACCCATGTGGGGATTCGAACCCGGGTCTTCGGCGTGACGAGCCAACGTTTTAACCACTAGACTACCCCACCGCCCCAAATATGACATGGGAGTAACCGGGGCCTTCTTGGTGTAGAGGCGGGCAGCGGGCACGTTGAGAGACGGTTGGGTGGGCGATGGATAGTGTGTGAGGGTGTGTGTGTGTTTTAGAATATGTGTTTGTTCAAGCATTCGTTTGTGACAAGGTGTTCGCCCGGGAAAGCCACATTTGAAAAATTCCAATTGCCGCTAAAGCCACATTTCAAGTACAAACCTCGGTGACACCTATAGCCGGGAAAGCCACAATGAACTTTTGCTCTTAAGGAAATTGTATTTGTATGTTCAGTATTGTTTTTGCCTACATGTAAACTACTTTGGTTTGTATGATTGGCATATTGCATCAGCTGATGTTTGGACAAGAATTTTCCATCAAATTTATTGTGACGTTTAAACTTTAGATCTAAATCAAAACGTCATTATTGCAACGACGGCAAAAACAGTGAGTTTGGAAAATCTGTCATAAATTTTGTTTAGGATCAGCTATGAAATGGAATGAGTTAGGCGTCACATATATAACTGTTTATAAGTATATTTGTGCAATAAATGGTCATTCTTCTAAAAAAGAAATATTTAGTTTTTAGCATGAATGTAAACATAATAACTGAGGCAAAAATAGCTCTTATCTCAAACAGTTATCAGAAAAGGATAAAACATTGAATTAATCATCCCATAAAGCTTAAAATGCTTCAAATGAAAAAATGGTTGTATAATCATAAAGGCTTCGTAAAAGGTGTTTGAGTACCTACATGAGGCAGCTAGATTGCGTGATCTGGACTTTTTTCCACGAACAATTCAACTTGATTTCTAGATTTTATATAACGAATATTTCACATTATTTACGGTAACATGGATTAGCTAGCAGCTCATTGCCGGAAGAGCCACAGTCACATGATCCCTCAACCATGGCCATTGCCGGTAGAGCCACACCATTTTAAACTCTGTTTTTCTTAAATGTGGTTTTCTCGGGCTAGAACCTGTGACGATTAGGGTGGTCCTGAAAATGACCGCTAGACTGGTGGGAATGGACCTACCCTCAGCTGCACGCAACATCCAGGCCTTTGAAAATGAATTACTTGTTGATCTGCCTTTCTGATGATTCCACCACAGTACATGCAGACGTTGGAGGTGGGTGCTGAGGCTAAGTGGACAATGCCGTGGGGTTTCAGATGCCGGATGGGATCAGATGCCGGCTGGCTTCTGCCATTCCTGATCTTGAGATAAACTGTATTCAGTTAGATGTAGGCTCGTCAGGAGCCAAGGAGGAAGGCCCGAAGTGGTGAAACTATATACGTTGACCGCTTTTGAGAAGTACATTTGGCTGTGTATCCAGTTTTACTCTGGGATGTGAATCTATGTTCACTTCTGATTTTATGTCCTGTATCTCAACTGGCTTCAGAATCACGGCTTTACTGCTGACACCTCATGTGTCCAGTAAGATCCGACAGGATGAGTGAGTGAGTTTAGATTGGTTGTACGCCGCACTCAGGAGTTTAACACAGTTTTGATTCGAAATAAGCATTTTGTACGTTTAATGGATCAGATATTATTTTCTGAAACTATACTTTCACTGATTGGAAGCCTGCTATCAAATGTGAACAAATCCAGTAAAAAAGTATGTATGTGTGTGTGTTTGTATGTTATTATTGTATGTGTGTATGACATGCATGTATGTGTGAGTGAGGCCGCTTTTGTGTGTGTATTCCATAATATGTGGCGGGGTGTGTGTAGTGAAATGGGCTGTATGTATGTATGTATGTGTGTATGTGTGTGCATGTATGTATGTATGTATGTGTGTGTGTAGGTTTATTGTATGTGTATGTATGTAAGTATGTATGTGTGTGAAAAGAGTGTGTGTGTGTATGTATGTATGTATGTTTGTGTATGTGTGTGTATGTGTTGAATGTATGTGTTTGTATGTATGTGTGTGTGTATGTATGTTTGTGTGTGTATGTATGTATGTATGTGTGTGTATGTATGTATGTTTGTGTATGTATGTGTGTGAGTTTGTGTATGTATGTATGTGTTGTATGTGTATGTATGTGTGTGTGTGTTTGTGTGTGTATGTATGTATGTATGTGTGAGAGTTTGTGTATGTGTGTATATATGTATGTGTGTTTGTGAGTGTGTATGTTTGTGTGTATGTATGTGTGTAAGAGTGTATGTCTGTGTATGTATGTATGTATGTTTGTGAGAGTGTGTGTATGTGTGTGTATGGATGTATGTGTTTGTATGTATGTGTGTGAGAGTGTATGTATGTATATGTGTATGTATGCATGTATGTGTGTGTATGTATGTGTGTGTGTATGTGTGTGTGTGTGTGTGTGTGTGTGTGTGTGTGTGTGTGTGTGTGTATGGATGTATGGATGTAAAGCAATACATTAAACTACACACACCCATATGTACGCACGCAAACGTATTTGTTTCACGTACGAATCGAGTGCTGTATTAACACACTGGTATTACAACCCCCTGGCGGTGCCGTGGCTTAGAGAATCAAGCAGATATACAACGGCATATTCGAATTTATTTTTTTCACAAGATAAGTTGTGAAGTTAAATCTTTTCAAGAAGTGTTTTAGAACAATTTCACCGATTAGTTTACATATACAGCTTATGACCGATGGCTTCCTTGTGTCGGTAAGCCTATTTACCCGATGATGTTCATCCCCGAGAGACCCAACTGGTAATATCGCACATTAGATTAATCCTTCTTCCGCGAAGGATTAGGTTTTCAACAAGGAAATGACAGACAGTCCGAATTGTAAATTTGACGGAAATATACGGATCCACAGCTCGGATCTCATCGTGAACAGACCTTCACCAGAGATGTGAAATTCAAGAATCCAAGCATGTGTAATAGGAGATTTATTTCCACATGGAAAACATATTGGAAGTAATGTTTTAAGCAAAATATTACTTTTTCAAGCCTATTATTATTATTAAGTTGTTATTTCCACAGGTAGTTTCTTGTCTATTTTCTCATCTGGAAACAATTTGACCCGGAAACATTAATCGGTTACATTATTGTCTGTCCTTTCGCTACGTGTGTACCATCGTCGCTTCTCGGCTTTTCCCAGAAATCACAACGGAAATAGGCGATATAGGAAAGATATCTCCGTGAAATGGCGACTGTGTTGAAGATACCAAGCCTCCGCGTCCTCCTCGCCCTGCTGACACTAAACACCGCCGTGTTTGTGGGATACTGGATATTTCGTCTCCGGTAAGTTGAAAACAGTCGGAATAATATTTGAGCGTGTCTATATTTTGTGGATGAATTTGTATTTGGTTCGTTGTTAGTGGATTTTATGCCGCAGTGAGAGTATTTCTCCGAACGGTAGGTGTTCTTTTGAAATACATGCTAACATTCTAAGTATGAATGGTAGGCTGGGTAAGTTTGGTCCAGCACTTAGTGAACAATACTCTGTTAGATGTCGGCTACGTTAGCTTTTTGTGGAAGAAGCGATGGCTGAGTGGGTTAAGCGGCTGACTTTGTGGACTGGCGATTTGGTGCCTGACTCTGAGGGTGTGGGTTTGAGTCCTGGGTAAGATGTCGGCAACGTTAGGTCTAGCGCCCTATAAACAGTACACTGTTAGATGTCGGCAACGTTAGGTCTAGCGCCCTATAAACAGTACTCTGTTAGATGTCGGCCACGTTAGGTCTAGCGCCCTATAAACAGTACTCTGTTAGATGTCGGCCACGTTAGGTCTAGCGCCCAATAAACAGTAGGCTACTCTGTTAGATGTCGGCCACGTTAGGTCTAGCGCCCTATAAACAGTACTCTGTTAGATGTTGGCCACGTTAGGTCTAGCGCCCTATAAACAGTACTCTGTTAGATGTCGGCCACGTTAGGTCTAGCACCTATAAACAGTACTTTGTTAGATGTCGGCCACGTTAGGTCTAGCGCCCTATAAACAGTACTCTGTTAGATGTCGGCCACGTTAGGTCTAGCGACTTATAAACAGTACTCTGTTAGATGTCGGCAACGTTAGGTCTAGCGCCTTGTAAACAGTACTCTGCTAGATGTCGGCAACGTTAGGTCTAGTGCCCAATAAACAGTACTCTGTTAGATGTCGGCCACGTTAGGTCTAGCGCCCTATAAACAGTACTCTGTTAGATGTCGGCCACGTTAGGTCTAGCGCCCAATAAACAGTAGGCTACTCTGTTAGATGTCGGCCACGTTAGGTCTAGCGCCCTATAAACAGTACTCTGTTAGATGTCGGCCACGTTAGGTCTAGCACCTATAAACAGTACTCTGTTAGATGTCGGCCACGTTAGGTCTAGCGCCCTATAAACAGTACTCTGTTAGATGTCGGCCACGTTAGGTCTAGCACCTATAAACAGTACTTTGTTAGATGTCGGCCACGTTAGGTCTAGCGCCCTATAAACAGTACTCTGTTAGATGTCGGCCACGTTAGGTCTAGCGCCCTATAAACAGTACTCTGCTAGATGTCGGCCACGTTAGGTCTAGCGCCCTATAAACAGTAGGCTACTCTGTTAGATGTCGGCCACGTTAGGTCTAGCGCCCTATAAACAGTACTCTGTTAGATGTCGGCCACGTTAGGTCTAGCACCTATAAACAGTACTCTGTTAGATGTCGGCCACGCTAGGTCTAGCGCCCTATAAACAGTACTCTGTTAGATGTCGGCCACGTTAGGTCTAGCGTCCTATAAACAGTAGGCTACTCTGTTAGATGTCGGCCACGTTAGGTCTAGCGCCCTATAAACAGTACTCTGTTAGATGTCGGCCACGTTAGGTCTAGCACCTATAAACAGTACTCTGTTAGATGTCGGCCACGTTAGGTCTAGCGCCCGATAAACAGTACTCTGTTAGATGTCTGCCACGTTAGGTCTAGCACCTATAAACAGTACTTTGTTAGATGTCGGCCACGTTAGGTCTAGCGCCTATAAACGGTACTCTGTTAGATGTCGGCCACGTGAGGTCTAGCGCCCTATAAACAGTACTCTGTTAGATGTCGGCCACGTTAGGTCTAGCACCTATAAACAGTACTCTGTTAGATGTCGGCAACGTTAGGTCTAGCGCCTTATAAACAGTACTCCGTTAGATGTCGGCCACGTTAGGTCTAGCGCCTTATAAACAGTACTCTGTTATATGCCGGCCTCCTTAGGTCTAGCGCCTTATAAAATGTACTCTGTTAGATGTCGGCTTAGTTAGGTCTAGCGCTTTATAAACGGTACTCTGTTAGATAATTGATTCAGTTCTGTTTTCCTCGCCCGCCAACCATAGGTGTACTCTAGTTTTTGCCTGGCACTTGGTGGGAAATGCCATATATTTATCCATATCCATATGTGATCCCATCTTAAAACAGCATATAGGTGCTCAGTAGTCTCAGACGGACCAAATCGAGTTGTGGATCACAGAGCCCCGGAACCTCTAAGATCGAATCTCAACGTTACCCGATTGTTAGCCTTGCACCAAAACGGTCATCATTCCATTGATGTGGTAAGCGTGGAAACTGTCTCCCTCTCTGACATCCCATAATGTGACTGAAATACTTTTAGAACTTACCCATTTTATTGTTTCGCAGATGGATCTCTCAAGATCAGTTCGAGTACTTTGACGAAACGAAAAGGAAAGACTACTTTCATCCTGTTGGTGTCAGCCATATTGTGCACAACCGAAGCATTCAAGTATTGCACACGGACTATCTTCCGAGGCTCCGTCACGAAGATTTATTCACGGAATTTGACGATGTTGTGCTGAGTGGTTTATACGAAGAGGACGAGTATATTCACGATTTGCGAATGGACAAACATCAAGCTGTTGATATCAACGGTATAGCTAATGGATCCTTTTCCACGGCGGCGGTGAAACCCATGACGTATTATTACGTCAATGACGTACTGTACGTATCAATTGCCCTGCACAACGGATATTATAAGAGGATATTACGAGGCGGAGACGACGTCCGAATATGGATAAAGGAACCAGATAGAGGCGCATGCGCAAGTGGATATGTCTTTGACCATCATAACGGAAGCTACACTGGTGTGGTGCGGTTGCTATGGCGAGGACGGGTTGACGTTGTCGTTGCCATTGCGTCATCTCGGGAAGCGATCAGACTGCTGTACACCATTCACCGGGAAGGGTACCTTGTCAGACAAATGTTTGCCATATTCCAAAGACGGCACACCTATGAGATGACGCTCTGTGCGTACACGCCTCATCTTCCAGGCTACGATAATGTGTGCAACTTAACCGCCATGAACCACGGGTTACCATGGTATTGCGGCCACCCGGACTTCCTGACATGCGCAGAATGGACGCGAACTGGAGCTTCACAGCCGCCATGGCCCCTGTACACCGATGATAGAAAGTTATTTGATTTGTAAGTATGTCTGTTTACTTTAACACCGATCTCAGAGCAATTTTCCAAATATGTTGACTGTCGAGTAAAAGAAGCTAAACACTTGAATAAGGATTTGACTAACCAATAATTATTACTAACGTTATTTAAATGTTAGTGGGCTGAAGCACTGAAAACCTGTATCAAATACTTAGACATCAAATAACGTATTCAGGGGCGCGCGCACACACACACACACAACAACGCACGCACGCGCGCGCACGCACGCACGCACGCACGCGCGCGCACACACACACACACACACACGTGTGTGTGTTCCCCAGCGCGGCAGTTCGCAAACGAAATCGGACCAGACAAACTGGTGACTACATGATTATGACACGATGTTTTTACCTGTTTGTATTTCATTAGGAACAACGTGCACCAAAACTTCAGACGTCCCATCCAGGTGAAGGTCATAGGTGAGTACTTGAAGTGAATAACTGAACCCGATAGCAACTCATGCGAACTCAGAGCAACTCAGGGCAACCCAGGGCAACTAATAGGTGAACACTGGAACGGCAGTTAGAACGATTTGTTGTTTAGTATGATCGCACACGAATTAATAAGATGTACACAATGCATTGTGAGGAAAACGCTTAGAGAAAGGAATGACTGAGTTTAGTTTTACGCCGCTTTTAGCAATATTCCAGCAATACCACGGCGGGGGACACCAGTAATTGACTAAACACATTTTCGCGGCGTGACGAGGGAATGCCCTAACCACGAGGCTACCGCACCGCCCCCTGGGAGAATGGAAGAAGTATGAGAAAGAAAAAGACGAAGTTTGTGAGGAGAGCATTTAGTGGGGATAGACGACAGGAGGCAGGAGGCAGGTGAGATAGAAAGTAGAGCAACAAGGGGGTGATGGTTGATAGGAAGTGGAGCTACAAGGGGGTGATGGTTGATAGGAAGTAGAGCAACAAGGGGGTGATGGTTGATAGGAAGTAGAGCAACAAGGGGGTGATGGTTGATAGGAAGTAGAGCAACAAGGGGTGATGGTTGATAGGAAGTAGAGCAACAAGGGGGTGATGGTTGATAGGAAGTAGAGCAACAAGGGGTGATGGTTGATAGGAAGTAGAGCAACAAAGGGGGTGATGGTTGATAGGAAGTAGAGCAACAAGGGGGTGATGGTTGAAAGAAAGTAGAGCAACAAGGGGGGTGATGGTTGATAGGAAGTAGAGCAACAAGGGAGTGATGGTTGATAGGAAGTAGAGCAACAAGGGAGTGATGGTTGATAGGAAGTAGAGCAACAAGGGGGTGATGGTTGATAGGAAGTAGAGCAACAAGGGGGTGATGGTTGATAGGAAGGGGTGATGGTTGATGGGAAGAGAGCAACAAAGGGGTGATGGTTGATAGGAAGTAGAGCAACAAGGGGGTGATGGTTGATAGGAAGTAGAGCAACAAGGGGTGATGGTTGATAGGAAGTAGAGCAACAAAGGGGTGATGGTTGATAGGAAGTGGAGCAACAAGGGGTGATGGTTGATAGGAAGTAGAGCAACAGGGGGTGATGGTTGATAGGAAGTAGAGCAACAAGGGGGTGATGGTTGATAGGAAGTGGAGCAACAAGGGGGTGATGGTTGATAGGAAGTAGAGCAACAAGGGGGTGATGGTTGATAGGAAGTAGAGAAACAAGGGGGTGATGGTTGATAGAAAGTAGAGCAACAAGGGGGTGATGGTTGATAGGAAGTGGAATGCAGCAGATAAAGAATGGCAGTGGATATTAGCTTGAAAAACGTTTGCCATCTTGGTTTCTAAAACAGGTCGCCGTGAAATAGGTACTGGCTGTTGCGCACTCAGAAATGAATATTGCTATTGTTTATGAAATCTGTTTCAGAGGACCCCAGACCAAACGGTAAACGTTTGGTCAGTTGCAATGAACTTCCCCCGTCAGCGACGTGGAGCCAAGCCACTCCAGTGGGCTATTTCCTCAACTGGCGATGGCACTCCACAGTCTGCACTAATATTCTCGCAAATACTGTTGAGAGCTGGAATACGTGCCTCAGCAACAGAAGGCTGTGGATGCACGGAGACTCCACACTGCGCCAGTGGTTCACGTACCTTCAAAAACGACTAACACTACGTCTGACGTCAGAAGTTTGGCACTACGATCAATGGCCCTACCCGTCGACCCTCTACAGCCAACGGTATAACTACGCCGTGTTCTGGTCAACTCATGAGCTTCCCTTTACAAACACTGAAGAGTTCGTCCTTCGACATGCACACAAAGCAGCGCATGTATACATTGACGAGCTTCCGGCCAACAACCGTGACATCGTTATCCTTCACCTTTACCTCCATTTCACGGCGTACCCGCCGACGTTGCTACAAACCCACATTCAACGCATTGTCCAATCAGTGAAGGCGCTTCTAGCACGTGCACCAGAAGCTAAAGTGTTTGTCAAAGGCCCTCATGCATTCAACGACAACAAGAACAACCGAGGTGTTATTGACGATTATTGGGGTAAAATTTATACTCAGATTTACAAGAAAGAGTTCAAGGACGTACAAGATCAGGTATATTTCTTGGATTTCTGGGACATGACCGTCGCTGCTGAAAATGACGATGTTCATCCGAATGTGACAGTTTATGACGCGATGATACACAGCCTGCTTGGATACATATGTCACTGAATGCAGCAGTGTTTTAATGGAATATGATCGTTTGAAGTGGAGTGTGTAAACACTACTGATCAGTGTTCAGAAATGATGTGTCAGGCTCGCTGACTTGGGTGACACATGTCATCGTATCCCAATTGCGTAGATCGATGGTGTGTGTGTGTGTGTGTGTGTGTGTGTGTGTGTAATTGTGACGTAATAATATTTGCGATTTCAGTCAGTTGCAAGTGCTTGTCGAAAAACAAGTCTAAATCCACTGATCGGAACAATATTAATGCTTGCATTATAGTTTTGTATTTACAACCGCCGACAGCGTGAATAAAAGAATAAAAGAGATACCTGGACTCTAAAGTCAAAGATTTACGGACATGAAAATGAATGTTAACTTGAAACTAAATGATGTATACTGAGTCACAAAAGAAACTTCACAAAATGTAATTTGAAAAATAATGAATAATTTTTCTCTGATGATACATCTATGTATCCGAAATAGGATCCCTATCTGTCGACTCTAGAAAAACGTGAGCAAAACCCACTCAAACCCATCAATTCGTCGTGCAAATGACGTTAGTGCCAAATCAGGTGTTGCACGTGCAGTCGATCACGTGATCTTCGCATCGAAGTTTTCTTCATATGCACGTGTTTGCAGTGGCCTCAAGAATTGAAAAAACACCTTTAAACCACTGTTCTAACGGTACTTGAAATGCCACGATTGTCAAATGTGCAACGTGAACGTGCTTGGCATGTTGCAAGCGGGAAGATCAGTTATTGACGTCGCAAGAGCAATGGGATGCAGCTGTCGTACTGTGTATGACTTGCGAGGTCGTCTACAACAAACTGGCACCACTTCTGATCGCCCAAGGTCGGGTCGTCCACGTGTGACGTCAAGAGCAGAAGAACGTCAAACCGTCCTACGTCACCTACGTGACAGATTTCTGCCGGCTACACGAACCAGGGCTGAGATGTTTAGAAGTCGACTGTCCTCACAGACCATTCGAAATCGGTTGCGGGCTGCCAATCTCCATTCTCGACGTCCATATCGTGGGCCAATATTGATGCTGTTTCATCAACGTCAACGTCTGCTGTGGGCCCAATGTCACCTCCAATGGACAAAGAGAGACTGGAATCGAGTCGTCTTTAGCGATGAATCCAGGTTTACCCTCAGATTCGTGGACGGCAGGCATAGAGTCTGGAGACGACGTCGTGAACGGTATGCCCAATGTTATGTACAGGAAGTCGACAGATTCGGGGGCGGAAGTTGCATGGTGTGGGGTGCTTTCTGTGGGAATAACCGTTCCCGACTTCTGGTCATCCGTGGAAACCTCACAGCTGCTGCTTACCGCAACCAGGTGCTCACCACTGAACTCGTTCCTTTCATGGCGGCTCATGGCCCAGGTCTACAGTTCCAGCATGATAATGCTCGGCCGCATACCGCGATGTTGACACGAAATTTCCTTCAAAACGCTGGAATCAACGTCATGGACTGGCCATCGAGGTCCCCTGACCTTAATCCAATAGAGCACGTTTGGGATGCACTTGGGAGAAGGCTTCGTGGTCTTAGGAACCAACCTCAGAATTTGCAGGAACTTGGCGCTGCCTTGCAAGAGCAATGGCGCAGAATCCCCAACCACGTGTTCACGAGCATCAGGCAGTCGATGAGGAGACGGTGTTTGGCAGTGGTGAATGCACGGGGCGGCCATACACGATATTGAACTGAGAAATTTCGCATTTTTATTCTTGTGACTTGACATACTGTATACCCATGTTTTGGAACGGCGGTGTAGCCTAATGGAACTGATTATGGCACTGTCAGTGTATCGAGTACATCACACAGATCTCAGCAATGAAATCATAACAATTTAACCATTTTACCATCTCTTGTTCTTTTATAGTGCCCTGAAGTAAGAATGTGAAGTTTCTTTTTTGACTCAGTATATATCATCAGTATTTCATACTGATATCATATCTAACACATGTTTTATTGGGCATATACACTTTCTCAGTAACATACAGATTCTAGTACTTTTGTTGGGCTGTGTCCCATCCGGGATTCGAACCCACACTCTAGAGTCAGGCACCAGCACACAAAATCAGCCGCCTAACCCGCTCAGCTACCATGACTTCCACAAAACTGGAAGTCGGACAATTGGTAGTCGAGACAACGCACTTTGTGTACCCCTCTGTTGAGTGTTTACAAATTGGCACGGCTCTCACGGCCGAAACCTATGAATACACATTGCCATTTAGAAAGTGGTCAAATGTAACATATTATATTTGGGATTACTCTTTCTCAGTAAAGTACAGAATATCAGTACTTTTCTTGGGCTGAGTGACATTCGGGATTCGAATCCATACCCTCAGTATATCATAACATCATGTGACGCACCATGGTCAGATCTCTTACTTCGACGTGCATTACGTTCCTGAAATTGAGATGCCGTGTACCTAATGCAGTGCAATCAGCGGCTTATGTTGGAGGTTATTCTGATAAAATTGAGTGAGTGAGTGAGTTAAAATGTTACATCGTATCGGCAATATTACAGCCATATAGCGATGAAAACAAGGTAATCATTTTAAAATATCTGTCGACAATGGACAGTAAAACCAACTCGAATCACAGTATCAAGAATTAAAACTAGCATCTATCTCTAAAATAGGATTTCAATTTAGGACAATGCAATATAAACACGGGCTGAGTATCGCCAGCAACTGAGAGTAGGTCACCGCATACTAGGGCCATGGGGACTTTTGCATGTACACTAGCTGGATTTACATCTCTTCAGCCACTGGCGATTGTACAGATATTTAGCCATTATAAAACAACAAATATTCTACGATTAAAAAGCTTGGCAGAGCTAAATTGACTTTGAAAGTTTTGGGACTTACGTATCCTCTCAGGAGGTCAATATTTTTACAATAATTTAACCCCCTTCGAGGGTACAGCCACTAACTATCTCGGTTGCTAAGTTATTCTACCGATTATAAAATATCAATTATCTATTCACCAAACATATAATCAAAATTTATCAATCAATTATATTTCTTTTAAAAACTCAATGATTAAATGATAATAAATATTATTAAAAAGGTCCTTAACTGTTTTGACATTGAAATATTCATCCCTTGTGGCGGCTGATAAGCCTGAACAGGCGAACGTGGAGCAGGTGGAATTAATTGATTGAGTACAATATACCTAGAGCTATACACTGTGATCTACTAGGATCAACCTGCTGTCTGTATCTCACATATCCCCAGCTGTGACGTGACCGATATCACATAGTATTTCATTAAGAATCAAAGGTGTCAAGATACAATCTCTTTCAATTGGCATCGGAATATAGTTCGACTCGCCTGATGTTATTCTCTGATAACAAATGTACATAGGAGGCCGTCATTGATATAAACAATATCTCCACATTCTAATAACATTGTAAAATATGTGTGTAATTGTTTTTATTGTAGGAATACCATTCAAGGCTGAGTGAACAGGAACACAGTTCGTTCGAATTAAGTCACTTGTTTGGACGTTGGTGTAAGAAACAAACCGCTTTACAGCCACAATATAAAATGTGTCAGCGGTTTATATTTGCATAACATTTTTACTGCTAGCATTTATCGAAGAAACCGGAAAAAAATATTGAAATATCGATTTTTTTATAGAAGATGGAAATATATTGAAATTACTCGAAATTTTACAATTATAATCACTGTAACGAGAAAGAAATCGAATTTTCGAAACACTCAACAAACAATTAAACAATAACATAAAGTATTTATTGCTAACAATCTGGCACCGTTAGTATAACAATACTATTCAAAATGAAGGGAAAGATTAAATATATAACAGTCAGCAGAAACACAAGATAAAACAGGTGACAGAAAGAGTGAGTGAGTTTGATTTTACGCCACTTTTAGGAATATTCCAGCAATATCACGGCGGGGAACACCAGAAATGGGGGTGACAGAAAGAGGAAAAGCGAGGTGACAAAAGGAAGAGGAAAGATCAGGAGGTGTTGAAGGTTCGACTAAGCGAGTCTAAACAGCGAGGAGAAGAAGAGGATGGTATTGTAATTTCAATGTATTCATTATTACACGTAATATTACTAAAACCAACGGAAACCCTACTCTAATCACGGATTAAGATTATTGTATGATGTATTTTGAGAAGTAAAATCTCAGAATGAGGGAACCATCTTTTATGTCTTCTGACATAAGTAGTCGTCAAACGGCAATTTACATGACAGCTGACTTTTAGGGTAACACTTTCAAGGTGTGTTGTGTATCTCTTCTCTATTGTGTAGATACGCTTGGTGAAAATGAATGCATCATAATGCAGAAGACGGTTAACGCTGTTGCGCCAAGGTCAATGACTGGCTGAAATAATCCAATTTGTGGAGGAGATCAGTTTTAGAGATCTGTATACCAGTCTGCGATAGGCAACATCTGCACTGGTGTTATTTGGCAAGGACACAGACGCGTAGCAAAGTTCGATTACTGAAGAGCGATATGGTCACGTATAGGATGGAGAAGATCGGGAGCGCATTTGTCATAGCAGCGTGTCTTGTACTTCTGTATGTCATCAGCGTAAATGTGACCTTGGACATGGGAGTTGTGAGTGTAAAGAAAGTCAGTTTTCTTCCGATCCGATCTGCGGGTCTGGGTTGCCCGATTCCTTCTTTGTCCAAAAGAACCCTTCCCGTGACAGCTCTGGCCAGCTTCCCCGGATCCGGCAACACGTGGATGAGACATCTTCTACAGCAACTGACAGGTACTGGTATTTGCCGCGATGCCGAATTCATACTGGATACTAATCATGGCGGTTACCTTTCTATAATATACACAATATGAACCTTGTACTATATTTGTGATTTTTGAATGAAACAACCGAGTGGGTTAGTGTGGCCAAGGAGCTAGGAATCGCTGTGCGACTTGACACACGCGTATTGTATCCGACGATCATGCAATAAAAATTTGCTAACTCCGATTCGCCCGGATTGTTTAGGGTTTGTCAGTTTGTGAAAGTGGTAAACTGTCAAGATCAGCTTTACTTTCTTCTCT